CTCAAGGTTCATCCATGTTGTAGCAGGTGTCAGAATTTCTTTCCAGTTTAAGGCTGAATAATATTCCATTGCTGGATGGACCACATTCTGTTTATCCATTCATCCATCAACGGACACTTGGGTTGCCTCCACTGGTTGGCTATTGTGAATAATGCTGTTAAGAATGTGAATGTGAAAATATCTTTTTGAGACCCAGCTTTCAATTCTTTTGGGTATATATCCAGAAGAGAAATTGCTGGATGATATGGTAATTCTACTTTTAATTTTTTGAGGAGCCTCATACTGTTTCTCACAGCAGCTGCACCATTTTACATTTCTACCAACAATACATGAAGCTTTCGGTCTCTCCACATCTTTGCTGACACTTGTTATTTAATTTCTTTTTTTGATAGATATCATCCTAAGGGTGTTTAAATTAATCAAAGAAATCTTAACTAAATTGGAGTCATGAAGGCCTGTAGGCGGGAGCTCTCATGCCATACCATATAGCGTCAATTACACCAAACAGGAAGAGAGACACGCTTGCAAATTGGACGGGAAGTAAAACAATTTTACTACTGAAGGGAGATTTCTTTCTCCACCTGGCAACAGCCCAGCCAATGAGAAATGCCGCAGCTCAGCCAATGAGAAACACTGCAGCTCAGCCAATGAGAAACGCTGCAGCTCAGCCAATGAGAAATGCCACAGCTCAGCCAATGAGAAATGCCCCAGCTCAGCCAATGAGAAATGCCCCAGCTCAACCAATGAGAAAGACTGCAGCTCAGCCAATGAGAAACGCCACAGTTCAGCCAATGAGAAATGCCCCAGCTCAGCCAATGAGAAGCCATTGCTGCCCTGAAATGTTACTTTCTCCTCATGGACTTTCCTATAGAACAGCCCCTCCATACTCCCCCTTTTTCTCCATAAAAGCAGCTCCTCTTCTGTGTTTGTTGATTTGCCTATGGTTTGTCATAGCATGCACATCCTGAATTGCCATTCTTTTGGCTCTTCTGAAATAAACTCATTTGAGGCTTTTCAACTTCACAAGGCTGTGATATATTGGTGCGTTATGTTGCATATAAATTATACCTCATTAAACTTGATATTAAAAACTATTTAAAAACAACAATTATACCCAGGACAAGTGCAAACCAGGACTGTTGGAGACAAACGGAGACTCATGGCCACCCCTGTTAAGGTTAGTCACATGTGTGTCCTGTCAGGTGAGCGGGAGGTTACAGGCAGGTGCTGCCGGGTGATGGGTTTTAAAGTTTATCCCGGGTGTTTCCAGTGGTTTTTTCTTGAGTTGAGTCACTTCTATGGGGGGTACATTTACTTATAGACGTGTTAAGGTGTGTCACGGGGTCGTCACAGTTGGCTGCTGTGTTATAGGTGGTTACTGTTGAGTTATAGGGGAGCTCCAGGTAAGCCCTTGTATTAGTTTCCTATGGCTGCTGTAGCAAATGACCTCAAACTTAGTGGCTTCTACAACACAAATTCGTTGTCTCACCATTCTAGAGGTCAGAAGTCTGACACTGGTCTCACTGCCCTAAAGCCAAGGTGTCAACAGGGTGGCATCCTTCTGGAGGCTCTAGGGGAAAATCTGTTTTCTTGTCTTTTTCTGTTGTTAAGACTTTATTTTTTTAGAGTAGTTTTAGGTTCACAGCAAAATTAAGCAGAAGGTACAGAGATTTCCCATGTATCCCCTCCTTGCATTCAGGCAATGCCTCCCCCATTATCACATCCCCACCAGAGTAGTACCTTTGTTACAACTGATGAAGCTACATTGACATGTTATCATCATCCAAAGTCCATAGTTGACATTAGGGGTCACTCTTGGTGTCGTACTTTCTATGGGTTTGGACAAATGTATAATGACATGTATACATCATCACAGTATAGTTTCACTACCCGGAAAATCCTCTGTGCTCCTCCAATTCATCTCTCCCTTCCCTCTAACCCCTGGCAAACACTGGTCTTTTTACTGTCTCCATAGTTTTGTCTTTTCCAGAATCTTATAGAGTTGGAATCATACAGTATGTAGACTTTTCAGATTTTCTTCCTTCACTTATTAATATGCATTTAAGATTCCTCCATGTCTTTTCATAGCTTGATAGCTCATTTCTTTGCAGTGTGAATAATAATCTATCATCTGGAGGTACCAGTTTATTTATCCATTCACCTATTAAAGGACATCTTGGTTGCTTCCATGTTTTGGCAATTATGGATAAAACTCCTATGAACATCCGTGTGCAGGTTTTGGTGTGAACATAACTTTTCAACACTTTTGGACAAATACCAAGGAGCATGATTGCTGGATCATATGGTAAGAATGTGTTTGGGTTTGCAGGAAACAACCAAACTGTCTTCCAAAGTGGATGTACCATTTTGCATTCCCACGAGCAATGAATGAGAGTTCCTGTTGCCCCACATCCTCGCAAGCACTGGGTGTTGTCAGTGTTCAGGATTTTGGCCTATCTCATCAGTGGTTTCCCTTGCCTTTTCTAACTTCTAAGTCCGTCCACATCGTTGGCTTATGGTCCCCTCCTCCATCTTTAAAGCCACAATGGAGGATCAGGTCCTTCTCATGTCACATCACTCTGACCGTCTTCTGTAGTCACGACTCCCTCCCTCATTCTCTCCTGCCCACCTCCTTCACTTTTAAGTGCCCTTGTGATGACATTGGGCAGCCTGGATAATCCAGGATCCTCTGCCCACCTCAGGGCCCTTAATATAATCACATGTGCAAAGTCCCTTTTGCCATGTGGTAACATACTCATAGGTTCAGAGGGATTAGGACCCGGACAATTTGGGAGTCTGTCATTCTGCATACTAAGGGCCTATGTGTTCTCACAGCTGCTGCTGGGTCTCACATCACAGGTACATTTCAGATCCTGTGGGGCTCTCTCAGGCCCTCTGGGGTCTCCAGGAACGGGGGTCTGCCATTGAGGCTGCTGACCTGGGCTCTCAGGGAAGCATCACTGGGCTTCTCTGTGTACAGGCTCCTTTCTGTACCACCCGTCAGCCTGTAGAATACAGTCTTTCTGGCAAGATCAATTCTCCAGGACTAAAAAAAGCCAACTAAATGTCACGGTCTGTGCTAGGATTAGGGTTAGGTTATAGGGACCCATTTCTTCTCAGGACAGTTCCATCTTGGAGGGGGAAGGGCCTGGGGCCAAGAGCCCAGAAAGGGGGGAAAATGACCTTGACCCTCTCATTCAGGGTCTCCATGTGCCCGCTCAACACTGGAGGGTTAGAAACAGGCGGCTGGGAGGCAGTGCCTGTGAGCTGACCAGGAGTGCAGAAGGCAGGATGGGGGTCTCCAGGCCAGCCTCCTTGCTCTCTGGGCTCCTGTCCTGGGCTCCCTTGGGCCCTGTGGTGCAGTGTCTGAGCTGGGGTACCAGGAACTAGAGGGCTTGCTCTGGCCAGGGCCAGGTCCTTGGAAGACCTAGGGCAGGTCATGCCTAACTCGGGGGTCTCTTCCTTCAACCTCTGCCACAGCCAGCGCTCACTCAGCTCCATCCCCATGAGAGACACCAGGGCCTCTTCTGCTTTCAATCTGTCTCTGTTGCTCTTCTGTCACCCGGGGGTCTCCATCTGATTGTCAGTCAGTTAGACTAGAACCTGTGAGTATTCCAGACCATCATTCACCCAGGTCTCCAAGCACTTAGGACACCAGGCAGCTATTGGCGGCACCCCCACCTGTGAGTCTGTTTGTCAGCAAGCTACATCTTGTGTGAGGCTGCCTCTTGGCTCCCAAGATGTCCACATCCTGGGCCTCGCTCTGGGCTGCAGTTGTAGAGGGCGAAAGAAGGGTTGCGGGCTGTGCGGTTACAGCACTGAGAGGTTCCACCTGGCCAGGGAGGGGGGGTGGTGTTGTCTCCTCTTCCCGCTCAGCCTGTCATTCCCCTCAGGTGGACCCCTCTCCTCTGGAAATTCTAGGAGAGCCCCAAGATCCCCAAGATGGAGTCAGGAAACTTTGGGGGTACAGGGTAAATTCAGATCAAAAGGCCCCAGTTGATAAATCCAGGCTCTGTGCACTGTGCACGCCCAAATGTGCTGAGCCATACTCAACACCTTCCAACAGCCTCTGCCTGCAAAGCCCTCCCTTCTCAGCTCCATGTGCTGAAACCCCATTGTTCCTGGAAAGCCCATCTTTGCTGGGATGTATTTCCTGATTGCCCTACCCAGTGGTCACAGAAAGTTGGTGCCTGAGACAGAGGGGACCCGCTCATCAGATCTGGGCAACCTCTCTCCCTGCTGCCCCACGGCCATGCCTCAGACTGCCTGTCATCTCCACAAGGGGGTGCCAGCCTGCTCAAGGAAAGGGGCCACCACTGCAGTAGGTCAGCACAGTCCCTGTCTTGAGGACAAAGAGGGCTCATTCAAATGCATCACCTGTCACTCCTTCTTGCATTCCTCCATTGAGTCGCTGCTCACATGACTCCCATGCCCAGCTAGACCAGAATGAGGGGGTCCTGGGGGGTAACGACTGGGTCTGACTTATAACTATATCCCCCATTCCATGCAGCCCTCCTTACCCAGTGCATGTTACTCCTGGGTTTTGGGACCTCTTAGGACCTGGAGGTCACTTAGGGAGGTCGGGGACACCCACAGGGATCATCAGGGTCCCTGGCATAAAGTTTAGAACAGCTCAACAGAGCCAGAAACCAAGATTCATTTCTCAAACTTTTATTGATGCTCCATAGGGAAGCAAAGACAGCTCACAAAACCACCATCTTTGAGGCCTCCCAGTCTGGGGAAAAATGCAGGGAAACGAGACAGCTTCATCCCCGATCGGCTGACTTTCGCGAGGGAGGGAAGCGAGGTGAGATCGTGGGCCAAGGAGCTGGATTTTGAAGCAGGTAAAGGCCAGGTTAGGCCCGCGTGTGAGGAGTTGCAGGTAAGTTGGAGCAGGGGTCCCAGGGCCCAGGCACTGGACCGCGCTGCGTTGGGCGGGGTGGTTTGCAGGAGTGGTTGGTGGAAAAAAAAATCCATGGCCCCGGGCGGATCCATGACTGTGAGCAGCTCACAGACTGCTTACGTGGCGGTGGGCGTGGCTCGGGGGCACGGCGCGGGGTCAGCAGCTCTGCCTCTTCTCACAGATCCAGTTGTCCCTCTCGTTGTCGCTGCACGGTGCGTCGTTCCACATCCCCGTGTCCAGCATCATGACGCAGTCCTCACGCCCCCCTGAGTCATTGGGCTCCCCCTGCCTCCAGTGGCTGCAGTGGTGTGGCATGGGTGTTGCTGGGGGTCTAGACTGAAGATGGCCCTGGCGTCCAGCCTCCCTTCCCAGGGGCTAGCCTGTTTATAAGTTGGGTCTGACCGAGACACCCTGAGGGTCTATCCTAACCACAGACACAACTTTCTAACGCTGCGAAGTAATTTCCTATCCCTCAGATTTTAGCCCTCAGCCAGTTCCTGGGGTCTAATCTGCCCATCTCACTTGAGACGCTGAGATATGGCCAAAGCACTTCTCCACGGGTCTCATCCACCCTCCTCCCCAAGTCCCTTCTCTCACCTGAAGCTGAGCGAGACTCCGTCCACCCACTGGTAACCCTGGATGGTGCCCGCGCGGCGCACGGTCCTCAGGCCCAGCCAGTAACCGCGGCCTCGCGTGTTCCGACTCAGGAAGCCCTGGGTGCGAGGGGAGACTGAGCCCGCAGAGTCCGCCCCGCCCCCTCTGGCCACCTCCAAGCCACGCCCTCTCAGGTGAACTCCGCCTCCGGTCTCGGACCGCTTAGGCTGCGCACCTGCTCATCCAGGTCTTCCACAATCACCAGGTGCGCGCCAGAGCTGGTGCAGTTGTGCTGCGCCTCTTCCCATGTGGCCTTTAGCTCGGAGAAAAGGTAGCAGGAGCCCTGGAAGGGCAGCCACGACGCGGGGCACTGCTCGCAGGGGCCTGCGAGGTGGTGAGGGTCAAAGAGGTGGATTGCCCCCAGGGGGAGGACTGTGGGGTGGGGTTGGATCTCCTGGCCCAACAGGAGCGGAGCCACAGAGAACAGGCCAAGGTCAAAGTGCAGGGCCGGGCGTTTCACGGGAACCCGAGGTCCACGAGGAGGGTCCACATGTCCCCTCCCCTCGCCCCTCCCCCTCCGTCTTGCTCACCGTTCCCTAGCCGGGCCGCCTCCAGCGCCCTCAACAGCTCAGCGCGGATGCCCTCGCGGTCCCTACCCGCTTCAGCCAAGCCCTGGGTCACTGCAAGATCAAGGAAGGCCAGATCATAGCTGGGGTCAGGGTCAGGAGTAGGGTCCCGATTCGGTCAAGTCAGCATGCGTGTCCGTGGTCAGCGTCACCGTCAAGAATGACATCACGGTGGAGGACTGTTACAGCTGGGGAGGGTCCGGTTAGGAGTTGTAGGCAAGGTCAGAGTGCAGCGGGCAGGGTCAGGATCACAGGATAGGGTCGGGGTCACACAGGGATCAGGATGTGAATGGAGAGTCTCGTGACAGGCGCGGGGAGGGATCACGGGTCGCGGCGCTGTCCTGCCCTCACCGCGCTCGCTCAGTTCTTTCAGGGCGCTCTCCTGCTGGGACAGCTTTGCCTGCGCCTCCCCAAGCTGGGTGCGAGCGGTCTGCAGCTGCGCCTGCGTCCCCTGGCCTGGGAAGCGGGGAGGATGGGGACGGGACATCTGAGGCTAGCCCATAGGGCCCCCACCCAGCTCGTCCAGTTCCGGCCATAATCGCCACACTCAGGACCATAAGCCCCGCCTCCTCAGCCCGCAGGTCCTTACAGCATCTCTTGCAGGATTGGATCTCCTCCTTCAGGGCAGCCAGCACCTCCATCTGCCCCGAGGCTGGAACAACCCCCGCCCACCCAACACACGCCAGGTCACCACCCGGGGACTCACGGGACACCCTTCCCCTCTCCGGGCCAGCCCTGGGGACCACAGGATCCCCATCCATCCACCCCCTACCCGTCTCCAGGGTCCAGACACTCCTGCCCTGCACATCCCGGGGGGCCAGGAGCCCCCGTTCTGCACTCACCATTTGTCCTCAGCAGGTCCTGGTAGCTGAGCAGAGCCCCGTGCTCTGTGGCGGCTGCAGAGAGAGGCTCCTGCAGGCACCACCCCGGGGGCTCGGGAACTCTCCCTTCGCCCACACCGCGTGAGCACCCCAGTCTTGGCACACACAGAGGGGCGGGCAGACATACA